TCACTTCTTTACATAATGTAAACTTCCCTGTCTGATTTGCACATGACTCCGGTATCTGGTTGAGGCACATTTCTTTGTAGTCAAATTCTCACCCTTTTCCTTGCACTTACTGGCCTTTGCAGAATCTTCTCAAAGGCCCTGTCGGTCAGCATTTAGAAGTCCACCTGCCCGGCATGAAAAACAAAGAGGTATGTGTAACTCAAGAGAACTTTTGGAACTCACATTCTTTATTACGCAAACCCTTTGTGAGTGTTGTAAGAGATGTTAGTTCAACTGCAGGGGAGAGCCACAGGATGAGCACACCGCTCAGGCTGCCCGTCTGGCCACTGCAAGTCACGGGCGTCCCGTACCTTGTAGCATGTGGACGAAGGGAGGGTGTGAGTCATGTGGTGGTTGATAGCTTTGATGGGGCGGGTGTTAACGGTATGATAATCTCTGCTTCTGATCTCCGTATCCCATTTGGGAGCGCTGCTTTGAGTCCCGGTGGCTCTGCTTCCAACCCAGTTCCCTGTCAACACACTGAGAAGGCAGTAGAGGAAGGCTGCAGGAAAAAAAAAAAGAAAAAAAAGAGAAAATGACTCCGGGTTTGACCTGGCTCAGCTGTGACTGTTGTGGCCACCTGGAAAGTGAACCAGTGGATAGAAGACCTTTCCTTTTTCTCTGTCACTCAGCTTTTCAATCTTTACTAAAATAAGTTTACAGTTGAACCTGTGTTTTATGTGAGGTTGCTTACATAAAGGCTTCTTTTTTTTTTTTTTAAGATTTATTTATTTTTATTGGAAAGCCAGATATACAGAGAGGAGAGACAGAGAGAAAGATCTTCCGTCCGATGATTCACTCCCCAAGTGAGTGCAACGGCCGGTGCTATGCCGGTCCGAAGCCAGGATCCAGGAACCTCTTCCGGGTATCCCACACGGTGCTGAGTCCCAAGGATTTGGGCCGTCCTCGACTGCTTTCCCAGGCCACAAGCAGGGAGCTGGATGGGAAGTGGAGCTGCCAGGTTTAGAACCGGCACCCATATGGGATCCTGGCATGTTCAAGGCGAGGACTTTAGCCACTAGGCCACGCTGCTGGGCCCTAACAGTTATGCATTCATCTTCTTCTGAGAAATACCTATACAGATTCTTCGCCTAGTTCTTTTTTTTTTTTTTTTTTCTTGTTTGCTTGTGAGTTTGCAGAGGAGTGGCAGGGGAGAGGGAGAAGAAGGAGCAGGGGCAGGAGGAGAGAGAGAGAGGTCTTTCATTGCTGATGCATTTTCCAAGTGGCTGCAGCACCAGGCCTGGGGCAGGTGACACCAGGAGCCAGGAGCCCCTTCTGGGCCACCACATGGGTGGCAGAAATCCAAACACTCGGGCCCCCTTCCACTGCTTTTCCCAGGCCATTAGCAGGGAGCTGGGTCTGAAGTGAAGTAGCCAGGACACACAGACAGGTGCCATAACAGACACTGATGTTACAGCTGGTGCCTTTTTCTGCTGCATCACAACAAAGACTTCCTTTGCTCATTTCTTAACGGGATTATTTTTCCCCAAAGAGTTGTTTAAACTCTTCTGTGTTTTGAACATATGAATCCCTTATCAGATATAAATGTTACGAGTATTTTTCCGATTGTAGAGTGCCTCTTAGCCCTGTTGATGACTTTCTGTATTCTGCAGAAGCTCTGTAGTTTGATAGAATCCCAGGTGATCCTATGGTGCTTTTGTCTCCGTTACGCATTCGAAGATGTAGACTGAGCTCCAAGATTCTGGCTTCAGCCTGGCTCAGACCCAACCATGGCTGGCATTTGGGGACTGAACCAGTAGATTAGACTTCTCTGTCCCCGCCTCCTCTCATCTCTGCCTTAGGAAGGCAGAATGTGTTGTGTGTGGGTGGGTGGGGGAGGGATGTCTTTCATCTACTGGTCTAATTCCTCAGTTGGCTGTGATAGCCAAGTCTAGGCCAGGCTAAAGCCGGGGATTCCGTCCAGGTCATCCACACAGGCGTCAGGGGCCCAAGCACTTGAGCCTGTCTTCTGTTGCCTTCCCAGGCATATTAGCCGGAAACTGAATCAGAAGCAGCCTGGACTGGTACTGTGATATGGGATGCTGGTGGCAGCTTGACCTGTTAATGCCACAATCCTGGCCTTCTATGAGGATGTTTAAAGATGGAGAAAGTTAGACTCCATATAGATACATGCTCACAGTCTGGTTATCTATATTCTTCAGTATCTCTTCCCCATTTTACAGAGCCCTTCAGGAAGATACCAAGTAATTAGGAGCAGAATATTGTATGTCATATAGTAATTAGAAGTCTCTCTGGGGCCTGTTACATTAACCATGAGGCTCCCCAGAGCATCATTATTTTTTTACTAAAATTATTTTTTATTGTTAAATATATTTTGTATTTTAAAGGCAAAGAGGGACAATCAGACAGAGATAGTTCAACTGCTGCTTCATTCCACAGATGCCTCCCGCTTTTTTTTTTTTTTTCCAGTAGTCCAGGAGTCTTTTATTGTCTGCTTTTTCCAGATAACGCTAAACGTTCCAGAGAGGTTAAGGGTCAAGTGGTTACAGTTACACAAATGCTAAGGGAGCCAGGTTCCAGCTCAGCCTCCTGGCTTCCCATTCAGAGTGCTGGCTGCTTCGCTACTGAATGTGGACTTGAAGGCGGGCCTGGGCCAGGGCTCAGAGGGCCCATGTCTCTGGCATCGTGAAAGGGCCTGCTGGTACTAAACCACTTGGGCCATTTCTCAGGATACATTTCCAGGAAGCCTGATCAGAAGTAGAGGGATCTGGACTAGAGCCTGCAATTAGTATGCAATGTGTATTCCAAGGGGCAGCTTAACTTGCTATGCCACAACACCTGCTCCATCCGGCATGAGTTTCAGTTTATCATTTGCCTGGCCTTGTGCTAGTACTGATTTTAGTTCTAAAAAGCCAACTTTATGTTTTTTTCTAAACATAGAAGGAGCTATTGAAAGAAATATTTTAAGTATATCATATTAATTCTCTAATATGGATCTTTCAGTCTTGTTGGGGACCTTACAATCTGATATTTCCCCATTGATGTTCAGTATATTTATTCCTTAACTATGGCTTTAGAATATTGCATATTTGGGAACTGGTGCCATGGTGCAGCAAGTCCAGCCTCTGCCTGCAGCACCACCATCCCATTTGGGTGCCGGTTCAAGTCCTGGCTGTTCCACCAGATTCTTGCTAACTCACGTGTGAAAGCAGCAGAAAACAGCCCAAGTGCTTGGGCCCCTGCCACTCATGTGGGAGATTCAGAGGAAATTCCTGGGTCCTGGTTTTGGACCAGTCTAGCTCTGGCCATGTGGGGAGTGAATTATTCACTCCAGTATCTGGAAGATTTTTCTCTCTTTCTCTTTGTCTCTCTCTTAATTTTTTTTTTTTTAATTTTATTTGAAAGGCAGATTTTAGAGTGAGAAGGAGAGACAGAGAAGATCTTCCATCTTCTGATTTACTCCTCTGACAGTTACAATGGCTGAAGCTGGGCATCAGGAACTTCTTTCAGATCCCCCATGCAGGTGCAGTGGCCTAAGCACTTGGGCTATTTTTCACTGCTTTCCCAGGCACATTAACAGGGAGCTGGATAGGAAGTGGAGCAACAGAGACATGAACCAGTGCCCATGTGGGATGCAGGTGCCACAGGCAGAGGGTTAACCTACTACATCACAGCAATGATCCCAAGATCTCTGTCTCTCACTCTGCCTTTCAAATAAATGAATAAAACATTAAAAAACATATCGTATACTTTAAAAATCAGTATCACATCTTAAACTTCAGTGATATCCCTTTTCCCCTTTCTTAAAGTCAAGCCCTTATTTGGGAGATGAATTTGATCAAGGTTCAAAATGACAACGATTAGATAATCTCAAATGACATCACCTTCTTTGAAAGAGCTATTTCAGTCTTTCAACTGGAGTGACTTCTCTCAACTGAAAAATTTGGCTGAAGCAGATGGCTTAGCTGATGGCAGAAAATCAACATGTGCTCTTAAAGTGCTTTGCAAAATTGGGACACAACCCAATTTATACGTTGATTATATAATCAATGGCAAGACAGTGGAAAATGCAAAATAATTTATGCTTCTGCGATGCAACAAATTCTATATTGATGTCTATGCAATATCAGGTTTTTTTTTTTGAAATGACTGCTTCAATTAGTTTGTATTTCTTGTGCAATGAAAATTGGTAATAGGGATGGTTATGTCGGGAGATTCATGTTCTGGCTGCTCCACTTCCCATCCAATTCCCAGCTTGTGGCCTAGGAAAGCAGAAGACAGCCCAAGTCTTTGGGCTCCTGAATCCATGTGGGAGACCTGGAAGAATCTTCTGGCTCCTGCCTTCACATTAGCTCAATGGCCTAAATGGTGATTTGGAAGAGCTCTATCTCTCGTCCTCCCTCTAGAACTCTGCCCTTCAGATAACAAAACAAAGTGAAACAATTTAGACAACACATGAAATCAGAATGGAGTCATTCATGCTAACTATCAAGGGATCAAAGTTAACTTTGGAAAGGAGTCAATTTTCCAGACACTGAAGTTATGTCCAACCTGAGAAAGTGTAGTAAGGACTTCCCTTCTAACTTTATTTTCTTCAGTCCTTTAAGCCAGGCCCCAGCCTTTCTGGACACTAATGAGCTCATCACAACAAAGTGTTGTAGTTTTGCCTTTCTAGTTTTTTCTGTGGCCCTGCATTTCTGGTGTTTGTGAATAGGTACCACCTACAGGCATTAATTTTCATCTTCTGAGTTAATTTTTATTCATATAATATTTAACTTTAAAAATACTTAAACATTTTTCCGTTCTTTTACTGTCTACCAATTGCCCATATCAATAAACCTCCTGTAGAAACAGCCTAAATAAACAAGGGAGACAAACTCGCCTGGGCTGGATAAATGCCCTCAACCAAGATGGCCGCGCCTGCCTGCTACTTATTTTTTCCAGCGCACAGCAAGGATGATTTCGGGAACTTTTTTTCAAATCTCTCCTTTCCCAAAACAAAGATGGCGTCCCACTTCCGGTTCTGGGCTTTCGCTGGTGGCAGCGTGGTGAGTGTTCCCGTGGCCGTCAGTGTTTTCTCCACCAGACTGAGCAGTGGACTGGGCAGCGGCTGCGGAAGGGCCGGGAGCCGGCCGCTTCTAGAACTGGGAGGAGGTGGCGGCTGCCCTGGCTCGGGACGCTGCCGCCTCAGCGGTCCCTGCACCTGGCGCGGCAGCGTCCCCCGGGAAGCCTCCGCAATTCAGGGCGTTGGAAAGATTCCGCTCCTCTGCTTTTTTTTTTTTTTTTAAACATATCTTTTTGAGAAATTTCTCTTCTCCTACCATATGGCTTCCTCATTTAAAATGCAAAGTCCGTTGGGTTTGTGTCCGGGGTGACTGTTTGCTGTCACCCTGGGGAAATCCCCCACGCGTTGGCGGTCACGCTGCTTTTCCTGACTCCTCGGACCCAGAACGTGCAGTTTGTGTCGGTGTGGACTTGGGGTTCGGGCTCCTCTCTCGCAGGGGGGTCGTCCAGAGTCCCTTGTGGTCACTCCTTTGCCTACTGAAAGCTGAATGGAGAATCCTGTGTTTTGTTTACCTGTTCAGCAGTCGATGGATAATTCGGGTTACTTTGACTCACTGTTGTGTAGAATGTAGCTAAGAGTGTTTGTGTAGTTAGTTATCCTGTGGCCATATATCTATTTCTCCCGGGCAAACATCCCGCAGTGGGATTGCCTGATCAAAGCGAAGCTCTGTGTCTAACCCTTTGAAGAACTGCCAGACTTTTCCCACAATGCCCGCCCGCCTCCTTTTATATGTTTGGACCTGAAGACGCACTGGGACTGTGTTGCAAAGACTGGCCTTTCAATTTGTCTAGGAGCCCTATGGGACATCAGTTGACCGTAAATGTATGATCTTACTCTGGACTCAGTTCTGTTTATCCATCTGTGTGGCAGTCCTCATTGCCAGTTCCACACTGTAACTGGCTTTATGATGCATTTTGAAGTTTTTTTTCTCCTTGTAGATTGTTTTGCTTATTCTAGGTCCCTTACATTTTCACTGAGTTTGTAAAATAGATGTTATTTATTTGAAAGACAGACAACAGGAAGAAGGGGAGAGACCACATGGGGAAGAGAGAGAGAGATCTTTCATCTACTGGTTTACTCTCAGAAAGTTTGCAGCGGTCCGACTGGGCCAGACCTGAGCCAGAGCCTGCAACCTCATTCTCTCTCCCGCATGACTCGGGGGTGGGACCCAAGTACTCGAGCTATCATCCACTGCCTCTCAATGTGTCAGCAGAAAGTTGAGTTAACAAGTGTAAGAGCCAGGATTTAAACCAGGCACTCTGATACGTGATGCGCGTGCCTCAGGGTTTGGGGTGAGGCTGGGGGTGGGACGTGACCAATGTGCCAGGCACCTGTGGTTTCAATGAAGTTTTGGAACAGTTATTAAGTCTGACTTGTGACCATGGAATGGCTTTTCATTTATTCAGATCTTTAATTTCATCCATCTTTTTAAAAATAGCTTCTAATGTGCATGTCACGACTTGCACTTAACAGTCTTAAGCGTTGTATTGTATTGTAAGGAGATTTATGTATTTGAAGAGAAGAACAAGCAGAGAGGGGGAAAGATAAAGATCCTGCATCTGTCAGCTTGCTTCCCAGATGGCTGTAACATCCAGCTGTGGATCAGGCTGAAGCCAGAAGCCAGGAGCTCCCCCTGGGTCTCCCCTGTGAGTGGCAGGGCCCATGCAACTGGTCTTGCATATTAGCAGGAAGCTGGAATGGGAGTGGAGCAGCTGCGACTTGAAGTGTTGTGGAATGCTGTGCAGCCCAGCCTGCTGCGTCACAATGTCATCACCTGGGATTGTGCTTTAAATGTTATCTTCAGATCATTTCTTAATTTTCTTATAAGTAAAGCCCCTGTATCCTGCAACTTTAACTTATTAGTTCTGCTGGCTTATAATCTGGTTTCTCTTCAGATCGTATCAATCTCTCGCCTTTTACTAAAGTTCTGCTGGTTCTTCTTTGTCAAAGTCTTTACCGTTTGCTGTTTGTGATATGGCTTTGTTGAGGTGGGCTTGCTCTTTCCAATCTGAATGCGTTTTATTGTCTTAAAGACTCGTCTTGTTTAAAGCTTTCAGAGCAAAGCTGAAGTGACAGAGCAGCAGCTGTCTTGTTTGTGATCAGAGGGGAGAGATTTCAGCCCGGTCCTGACGTGTGAGCTTAGCTGTGGACTTTTCAGAGGGCCCCACATCAGCTTGAGGAGTTTCTGTGTTGTTTTAATCGTGGAAGGTGTTAGACTTTGTCAGCAGCTGTTTGTGGGTGTTGGCTTGTGTGTCCTTTGTTCCACTAAGGTAATGCTTTACATTAATTGATTTTCAGGTATTAAATTTAAATTCTTGGAATTTAGTTCTGCTTAGTCATGGTGTATACTTTTTCTTGTCGTCGGATTTGGTTTTAAGATGCTCTATTGAAGTTTGTTTTGTGCTCCTCCTATTGGTCTGTAGTTTCTTGTGATTTTTTTTTTTTTCCCTCTGGTTTTGATGTCAGCGTAGTACTGAAAGTACAGAGCATACTGGGCGGTATTTCCTCCTCTGCATTTTTTAGCAGAGTTATGCAAGAGAGGACGGTACAGCCCTGATGCGGGGTTCACATGAGGAATGTCCCGAGTGTGCCTGAAGCCGAGATGGTGAAGGCGGCAGAGGCCAGCTCAGCCAGCTTGGTAGAGCGAAGCTCCTGGGTGGCCACGCTGTCTCAGAGGAGGAAAAGAGAGGAGAGGCCAGGGGGTCAGGCCTCAAGGAACATTCCAGGGGAAGCTGCGGGCTAGGAAAGGGTGAGCAGGCGAGAGGGCAGTCAGCAGAAGGGCTTCTGGAAGGTGTGTTGCTTGGAATGAGTTTCTGCAAGTTGTCCAGTGCAGTGGGTGAGCTGGTGAAATGGAGGAACTAAGCCAGTCTTCTGCTCTTCTGAGAAGTTTGGAGGGGGCAGACAAACCGGAGATAACACATTATGGGGTTTTATTTTTTTCTCATTCTTGACAACTTTTTATTTGGATGTAATTTTATGCCTTCAAAAATTTACAAAGTACAAGGAACTCCAGAATAACTTGTTCGCCCCATTTACTTTATCATTCACTCTCTCTGTATATGTATTTATGCATCCTTGTAAATATGTATTTGTGCATACTTGAGAGATAAAATAGTAGTTTTTATAGATGAAGCTGAAGTTAAATGATTTGTGCAAAGGGACACAGCCAAAAAGGTGACAGCGTGGGGGCCTCGGCATGATCCTCTGCCTGTGGTGGCATCTCAGATTTGAGTTCTGGCTGCTCTACTTCCCATCCAGCTCCCTGCTTGTGGCCTGGGAAAGCAATCGAGGACGGCCCAAAGCCTTGGGACCCTGCACCCACGTGGGAGACCCGGAAGAAGCTCCTGGCTCCTGACTTTGGGTTGGCTCAGCTCTAGCTGTTGCAACCACTTGGGGAGTGAACCAGCGGATAGATCTTTCCCTCTGTCTCTTCTCTCTCTGTAAAGCTGCTGCTCCAATGAAAATAAGTAAATCTTTAAAACATTCCTCGGTTTCTCTTACTGTAGAGCTATGCATGGTCTCTAATATAGATGCAGCTACCAAAGTGAGCATGTGAAAATGCAAATGAATCGTACCACATTCCAGCTCAGAAGCCTTTATTATATTAGGAAATGGAAAAAAAGACATAAGTGAAAATGTGTATTTAAAAAAGATTAATGCATGATAGACCATTGGCTAGGTGATCAATGAAGCAAATGATAGTAAATTAATTGAGGGGGAGAGGTGACCACTTCGTGTTCACTGTGTAATTCTTTGTTTACATTTGGAAATGATGTGCAATCCTGGGATGGTGGTGCCTTCACTGAACAAAGTAAATGAAGTTCAGTTACTTGTGCTGTGTGGCCCCTGCTGAGACTTTGCCTGTGGGGTTGTGCAAAGTAGGAGTACGGCTGCCTTCTGGATGTTCCGTGGAGTGGGGTGCCCGACTCGAGCATTGCAAAGGGGTGTTTAGACTGCATACTGAAAGCACGTTGAAGAAGGCATTGTGTTCTGCTCCGAGCAGGGATCTCACCGGGCCCCTTTGCCAGCTTGCTCCTGCGCGCACAAACTGGGTCCCCAACAATGGGCTTGATATGCACGGGTGTGTGTTTGGTAAGAAAAAGGTTTCTGCCTTTCACTGGGCATTTCTTAAAAATCTCTTTTTAATATGTTTTTGATCTAGGGCCTAGTTTTGGATCTATTTGGCATTGAATACCAGGATTCTTCAAAAAGTTTTCATGGACAAGGGACTTGTACATTTATTTTGATGCAAAATAATTTTGAAATCCTTGGATATGTGGGGTCTGCAAGAGGTTTTCGCAAAATGTGTATTGCAAAATAATAATGCATGAATTAATTTTTTTTGCACCAAAATAAATGTGTTTAAATTAAAAAAAAATTTTGTTTGTTTGTTTGTTAGAGGGGCAGAAAGAGAACAAGAACAAGAGAAGGATGTTTAGAGAGGGCACCCATCCTTTGGTTCACTTGCTAAGTGCCCACAGTGGCCAGGCCGGGGCCAGCCGAGCCCAGAGCCGGAACTCAGCCTGGGTTTCCGAGGTGGGTGACAGGACCCAAGTACTTGAACCATTACTGCTGCATCCCAGGCAGCTGACGTCAGGAGCCGAACCTGGACTTGAACCCAAGCAGCCCGATGTGGGATGTGGGTCTCCCCAAGCAGTGGCTTACCTGATAGGCCAAATGGCCACCCCTTGTAGGCGTTGGTGGTATAGTGGTGAGCATAGCTGCTTTCCAAATGGCCACCCCAAAATAAACTTTTTTAATTCGGTTTTCCATCAACTTTCTGAAGTGATCTTTTGTTGTTGTTAAAGATTTATTTATTTTTATTGCAAAGTCAGATATACAGAGAGGAAGATCTTCCATCCGATGATTTACTCCCCAAGCAGCCACAGCGGCTGGTGTTGCACCAATCAGAAGCCAGGAGCCAGGAGCTTCCTCCAGGTCTCCCATGCAGGTGCAGGATCCCAAGGCTTTGGGCCGTCCTCGACTGCCTTTCCAGGCCACAAGCAGGGAGCTGGATGGGAAGTAGAGCCACAGGGATTAGAATCGACACCTGATTGGGATCCCAGCGTGTTCAGGGTGAGGACTTTAGCCGCTAGGCAACCACACCAGGCCCTCTGAAGTGCTCTTATGAGACGGGATTCTACGAGTGCAGAAATGACAAGTATTAACATTTCCACTCAACCAATGTTCAGCAGAGCATACTGGTAAACCAGAATGTTCTATTCACTCTGTCACTCAAGACACCTCAGCCAGTGGTTCACTTCTTAGCAGGCAGAGTGGGCTGATGTCATTCGTTGACTTGTTTGTTCCCTTCCAGAAGCCTCCAGAGCACAGGGTTAGGTAACGTGAGGAGAGAAGGGGCAGCCTGCCACAGAGATGTTTGCTGAAACCATGGCCTGGCTGGTTAGTAAGGCACATGCCAAGAGACAGGGTGTTCTCGCCTCTCTGGGACCTTGGTCGCTCCACTCCCCTCAGGAGCAGCCGGCTGTCACTTGGACTCACGCTGCCTGTGTGAGTGCCCGAGCAGCACGTGGCCAGGTGTCCTCAGACAAGAAGGAGCTTGCCAGACTTTTCTGTGGATCTGTTTTGATAGGAGCTCTGTCTTTGCCTGATCAAATGCTGGCTTAGTCTGCAGTATGGAGGGAACTGTAGGCAGAGCAGGCAGTGTGGGCCTCGGGCCTGGTGACTCCAGGCTGCGCTGCTTGCTAGATGTGTCCAGGGTGACTTACTTCTCTCTGTGAATGAGAGAGACGGTAGTATTTCCTGCCTCCGAGGGTTACTGCAGAGGCGGCTCCCGGGGCCTGGGATCTTCCTCTGCAAATGTGAGTTTGTCTTACTGTTGTACTGCTCATGTTATTCCGGAATCGCCGCCCTCAGACTTGTGCCTCTGAGATCGCTCATGTCCTGTTTTGTTAGCAGCTGCATACTGCTCCTCGATTTGGAATACTGTCTTTTCCCAAACTGTTCTGTCTCTTTAACTTCTGTAACTCAGTTGACAGTCACTTGTCACCAAAACTCTTTGCTCAGAGATCTCAGCTTTCCTTCAGTTGCCTTTTTTTTTTTTTTTAAGAAGTTATGTTAAGCAGTGTTGATTCATTTTCACCTATTGGAAAAGCAGAGAGAGAGAGATTTCTCTTCTGCTGATTGACTCCATGAATGCCTGGGACAGCCGAGGCTGGGCTAGGCAGAAGCCAGAAGCTCTACATTTCATCTAAGTCTCTTTCCTATGAGGTGGCAGGAACTCAAGCCACCTGCTGCCCAGGAACCCAGGGACCTGCTGCTTCCCGGGCTACAGTAGCAGGAAGCTGGATCCTAAGCGGAGCAGCTAGGACTCCAGCTGGCACCCTGCTTGGGATGCTGGCAGCCAAGTGCTGGTCTAACGCACTGAGCCACCATGCCTACTTCTCAGCTCCTCTTTCTCCATCTCGTTCTTAGGTCCTCTTCTCACTTTACTTCCTAAATATATTCCTTTTCTTTTTTAAAAGGATTTACTTTTTATTGGAAAGTCATATTTATAGAGAGAAGGAAAGGCATAGAGAAAGATTTTCCATCCATGGGTCACTCCCTCAGTGAACGCAATGGCTGGAGCTGAAGCTGATCTCAAGCCAGGAGCCAGGAGCTTCTTCCAGGTCTCCCACGTGGGTGCAGGGTCCCAAGGCTTTGGGCCATCCTCCACTACTTTCCCAAACCACAAGCAAGGAGCTGGATGGGAAGTGGAACAGCTAGAATTTGAACTGGGACCCATATGGGATCCCGACGTGTGCAAGATGAGGATTTAGCCCTTAGGCTACTGTACCGGGTCCCCTAAATATATTCTTTTTAAGAAAAACTTTAAGAGCAAGAGCATGCGGGAGTGAAGAAACTTTGATCTGCTGATTCACTTTACACAAGTTTGCAGTGACCAGGGAAACTGAAGCAGGAACTCAGTCCACGTCTCTCTCACGGGTGACGATCTAACACTACACAGGTAGAGGTGGGCCCAGGAAGAGCAGGAACATCGGTTTTAAACAGATGTTCCAATGCCTCAGCCAGCTATCTTTTTGGTTCCTGGATCTCGGAGAGAGTTTCAGATCCAGGTTGCTGACAGCAGTTCGGCCTTAGTCGCTTCCCAGCCAGCGCTGCCGCAGGAGGCGAATGGTTCCAGCTGACACAGGCTCTGTCCCTCCCCGCTTGCTCAGTGTATAACCTCTTCCATGCCGCCCTGCTTGTTCAGACCGGCCTTGTTCAAGTTCATGCTTTTCTTCCAGTCCTGGCCTGGTCTGCCCGGCACCTCCTAAGAACCTCTTGGTCTTGACTCACTCTGTTGATAGGATGTGTCTCTGTGTTCGGAAAACCCCGAGGTGTGAACGCGCAGCGGGAGGATCTGTGGTGTTCACCTTAGTCTTCCAGTGCCCGATGGCAGGCCTGGCCTGTTGAATAATCAAGTAGAGGTATGTTTGAGTAGGCCATGGGGAAGAATACGATTGACCTGTTCTTTCACTACCCGGATAACTTCTGAAATTCAGCTGGGAGCTACTCAGCTGGACTTTCTCCTATCTTTATGTCTCTGTACCTGACGCACACATACACACAGATACATCCCACACATGATATTTTATTTTTTGAAGATTTGTTTTTTTGTTTTTATGGAAAGGCAGGCTATTTACAGAGAGAAGGAGATAGAGAGGAATATCTTCTATCTGTTGGTTCATCCTCCCGCCAACTGGTCGCAAGGGCCAGAGCTGAGCCAATCTGAAACCAGGAATCAGGAGCCTCGCCCAGGTCTCCCATGCAGGTGCAGGGTCCCAGGCTTAGGGCCATCCTTGACTGCTTTCCCAGACCACAAGCAAGGAACTGGATGGAAGTGGAGCAGCTGGGATATGAATCGGCAACCATGTGGGCTCCTGGCACTTGTAAAGCAAAGAAGGGAGTTAGCCACTGAGCCATTGTGCCAGGCCCAATATTTTATGTTTTTATTAAAACTTTTTTTTTTCTGGGGCTGGCTCTGTGGCCTAGCAGGTAAAAATTGTTGCCTATAAAATGGGCATCTCCAATGAACTCCAGTCCATATCCTGGCTGCTCTACTTCTGATCCAGTTCCTTGCTAACGAATGGTATGGAGAAAACAGCAAAAGTGGCCCAAGTGCTTGGGCCCCTTGACCCACACGGAGACCCGGAAGAATCACCTGGCTGCTGGCTTTGGGCTGGCCCAGCCCTGGCTGCTGAGGTCACTTGGGGAGTGAACCAGCAGATGAAGGCCTGTCTCTCCCCCTTTCTCTGGAACTCTGACTTTCAAATAAACCAAAGAATCTTTTTAAATGTTTTAATTTGAAAAACAGAGACAGGCTGGTTTTCTCTCTTTCTCTCTCTCTCTCTCTCTCTCTAAGCTGTATTTTTATTGCAGTCAGATATACAGAGAGGAGGAGAGACAGAGAGGAAGATCCTCCATCTGCTGATCCACTCCCCAAGTGACCGCAGTTGCTGGAGCAGAGCCAATCCGAAGCCAGGAGCCAGGAGCTTCCTCCAGGTCTCCCATGTGGGCGCAGGGTCCCAAGGCTTTGGGGCCATCCTTGACTGCTCCCCCAGGCCACAAGCAGGGAGCTGGATGGGAAGTAGAGCAGCCTGGACTTGATCTGACACCCATGTGGGATCCCGGCAGTTGTAAGGCGAGGCCTTTTGCTGCTAAGCTACTATGCCTGGCCCCAGTCTCTATCTCTTATGTGGGTGGCAGGGACCCTAATACTTGAGCCATCAGTTACTACCTCCCAGGGAAAGCTTTATTAGGAAGCTGGAATCAGAAGTGGGGAGCAGCACCAGCACCCAGGCACTCCAGTATGACACCCCAAATAGTATCTGGACCACTTAGAGCCACATAGCGTCCCCCACACAATATTTTATTTTATAAAATCCTATCTATAATTTTGAAGTGTTTTACATTTAATATGTCATAAACATTTCCCCTGGCCATCATCAAATATTCTTACAGCCCTTGAATGGCAGTGTGATATAATATTTTATGTACGTTGTGAGGGGCATACTGTAGAATTGAGCCTTTCCCCTTTTCACATCAAATGACTAATGCTTTCTTTGTGCTTGGGGTTTTTCTTTCATGAATTTTGGGTCAAAGTAAAGAATGTAAAACCGTTCATGGAAAAGGAAATCGTTCGGGTCTTACTGCTATTTGAACTTTAAGATTCTTAGGATCGTTCCAGCTGTGGCCCCTGTGAAACCTCCTGCCACGTAGAACCTTCTGTGTTGAATTTTTCATTCTGATCTGTTTCTTTTTCTGCCTGTGGCAGGACCATGGCAGCCCAGGAAGCCGCCGCAGGGAGCCTGTCCCCGGAGAGCTGTGTGTTGGAGCTGCCTTCTACCTATGACATCAGCCATTTCGTGCTGCAGAGACCCAGCCAGGAGCCCAGCAGCAAAGCTTTGGCTCCTGTGGAATTCCAGTCTTTTCCTTGCTCTTCTGATGTGGATCCAGGTAATGATCAGAGCGGAATAACAGGAACTACACAGAAAACCTGGCCTTGTTGGTGTGCCGTGGCCGACTCCGAGGCGTGACAGTTTATCTTAGGCAGGGAAGCACTTCACCTGAGTGGGGTTGTTAGGGTGTGGGGGTGACTGAAGACTTGGGACAGCCGCCTCTCTCCCTGTTCTAACAGTCATATGCAGCTGTTTCCTGGCGCCTTTTTTTTTTTTTAATGTCCAACTGCCTTTCTGATCGTAATCCAAGTGCATTCAAAGGCAAGGGGACACTGGCTCCAACAAAGATCACAGAATTGTTCATTGTATATTGTTCTTTCCAAACTTCAGAAAGTAGCAGCCTAGCCCTGTTACGGGTGGCAGCTAGCTGTAATATTTCAGTATTTTCTCAGGAAGTGTACTCTCGGTTTCAGTAACAACATCTCTGCAAGTTCGCTTAACTGAATGGGCTGATAATCTGTTATCGGAACGTACTGATCATTTCCCGCGATAGGCAGTGACCACATCCATTTGTAAGGCCCCTCTCTTGTTCCTTCGTTGCCCCATCCTGAGGTCCACAAACCTGGATCAAAAGTCTGGCGTGTTGCCTTCTGGCCTTGTGATTTGGGACCTGCTGCGTGACCCCGCTAAGCTGAGTCATCTACACAGTGGCTTTGTAGAAAGCAGGTTTTACTCTGGGGACAAGGTGAAGTATTCGTCACAACGTTTGCAGGGTACTCCGTCAGTATTGTTGTTGAACTTGTTGTTCCTAGTAAGAAATCTAAATTCTGCGTGTATACATTTTTCATGTTTATTTTTGTTTCTATGAAACATAAAGAGAGGGAGAGACAGAAAGAGACAGAGATCCTCCAACTGCAGGTGCGGTTTCTAAAATGGCCCACAGCAGCCAGCGAGGACGAGCCGAAGCCAGGAGCCAGGAGCTCCTTCCAGGCTGCCCGCAGAGGACTGTCTCTCTGACCTTCTCTTTCTGAATCCTTGGTCCTCTGGGCTTCTGGCGGGGAGGCGCTCATGATGCTCACGTTCCTGTTTGAGCTCTCTCTGTTGCCAGTTCCCTTTTATCTCTCTAACCTTTAAGGTTAGAGACTTTAGTGCCAATTTCTCAAATTGCTTCTCTTGTCATCACTCCCTGAGTGACCTTACCCAGTAGGGGGACCTTAAATACCCCCTACTGCCTTGCTCACTTCCAAGTTTCTGTCTCCGGCTTGGACCTGTAGGCTGACATTTAGACCATCTGTGCCCTTGACGTCATTGTTTGACTTCTGTTGGACTTGTTACATTTGGCACATCGTAAGGCAAATTCGTAATTCCTCCACCTCCTTCCCAGTCCTCCCCCGCCACTACGCACCTGTGCCTTGAGGTTTTCTCAGCTGAAAAGGAGCTTTGGTATCCTTCTGTTCCCTTAGCAAAAACCTCGGAGTCATCCTCAGCTTTTTGCTTTTAAACTTGACATCCAGGTCATCAGCACATTGTTCCCCCTCTACTGGTAGGATAAACTAGAGTTGAAGCAGTCTTGGCCAGTTCCACTTCTACCACCCTGACCCGAAGCACTCGCATCCCTTTAGTGCATTATTATTGCTGCCTTCTCCGTAGCTTTTCCACATCTGGCCTTATCCCCCATAAGCTCTTCTCAGCAGCAACCGGAAGGGCACTGTAGGCTATCAACCAGATGGGCCTTCTCATCTACCTCACGGTGTATGCCACCGTCTTTCCCAGAGGACCTGTGTTCTCTAGGCTGTGCACCTGCCACATCTCTCACCTCATCTCCTGCCATTTGCATTCCTTCCATGGGCTCTGCCCGCCCAGCTGTGCCTCTTCCACAGCAGCTGAACCTTCTGCCCTGTGTGCTCAGCTATCTTGGAGGCCTACCCTCGCCTCCTGGGTTTAGGGACCAGCTCACCCACCTCCCACTGACACTTCCTTTCCAGATTTCTTCTCTTTCTCCTCCTCTTTGGCTTTCTACTCTTCCTTCTTCTAGTTTAAAAGACTTATTTGGGCCCAGTGTGGTAGCCTAGTGGTTGAAGTCCTCACATTGCATGTACCAGAATCCACATAGGTGTAAGTTCATGTCCCAGATGCGCCACTTCCCATCCAGCTCCCTGCTTGCGGTCTGGGAAAGCAGTAGAGCATGGGACCCTGTACTCGGCTCCTGGCTTCGGATTGGCTCGGCTGCAGTTATTGTGGCCACTTGGGGAGTGAAGCAGTGGATGGAAGATCTTTCTCTGTGTCTTTCCTTCTCTCTGTAAATCTGATTTCCAATAAAAAAAAATCTTTAAAAAAGATTGATTTGAAAGAGTTAGAGAGAGAGAGAGAGACACACACACAGAGATAGAATCTTCTATCCATGGTTCACTCCCCAGAAGACCATAAAACCGGAACTGGGCTGGGCTGAAGCCAGAAGCTTCTTTTAGATCTCACATGTAGTTCAATAGGGGCCCAAACCCTCAGACTGTCTTTTACTGCTTTCCCCAGGACGTTAACCGGGAGATGGATTGCCAGTAGAGCAGCTGAGACACAAGCCGGCACCCAAACAGGATGCTGATGTCACAGGCGGCCTTTTCTTTCTTTCTTTCTTTCTTTCTTTCTTTCTTTCTTTCTTTCTTTCTTTCTTTCTTTCTTTCTTTCTTTCTTTCTTTCTTTTCTTTCTCTCCCTTTTTTTCTTTCTTCCTTTCTTTCCTTCTTTCAATATTTATTTTTTTGTTATTTTTATTGGAAAGTCAGATATATGGAAAGGAGGAGAGACAGTGAGGAAGATCTTCTGTCCACTGATTCACTCCCCAAGTGGCCACAACAGCCAGAGCTGCACCAATCTGAAGCCAGGAGCCAGGAGCTTCTTCCCGGTCTCCCATGCAAGTGCAGGGTCCCCAGTCTTTGGGCTGCCTTCGACTGCTTTCCCAGGCCACAGGCAGGGAGCTGGATGGAAAGCTGGGCCACCGGGATTAGAACCGGCGTCGATATGGGATCCTGGTACATACAAGGCGAGGACTTTAGCTGCTAGGCTACTGTGCCGGCCCTCTCTCTCTTTCTTCCTTCCTTCCTCCTTCCCTCCCTCCCTCCCTTCCTTTCTTTCAAGCCTCAATGCCAGCTCCTTACATTCTTTTCCGCAGTAGTTAGTCCTATTGGTACTTTATAGGTATGATTGCTACATCTTTATAAAAACTATTTATTTGAAGTTCCCAAATGCTACAAATGTCAGGGCTGGGCTAGTTTGAAGCTAGGACCCGTAACTCCGTCTTGATCTCTGGTGAGGATGGCAGGGTCTCCAGTACTCAAGCCATCTGCCTCCCAGGGTGCGCATTAGAGTCAACTGGAATTGAAAGTAGAGCGAGCCGCCAAGCCAGGTCCTCCGGCATGGCATGTGGGGCTGTCCCAAGCAGTGCCTCGACTGTTGTACCCAGCTTCTGCCCCTTCCACTTGGCTACCTGTATTTACCCATTCCATTTAATTACCTCCTCCCACTGGAATATCAATTCCAGGAAAGCAGGTACTCAGTAAACACTTGTATGACTAACAAATGCCCAGATGTTAACCTCTGACACCATTATTTCATTGAGGTAGATCCGTATAGATGTGGGGCTAAAGTTCATCATGGCATTGGAAAGTCTTTCATCTCTCTGACCGTGATGTGAGGCTGCAGGCTGGTTTAAGGACCTTGAGGAACTTCCCTGTGAAAGGAATGGGAATCATACATACCGCTGAGAGAGGTGAAGCCTAAACTTGGCCCCCTAATCTTGGAACGACAGGTGGCCAGGTCTCTTCTGCTTCCCAGGTCAGGAGTCAGGACGTGTGACTGATAGAGACTCAGCAGAACTGTTAGTCATAAACGGCTGTCAGGGTACGTCCTGCCCCAAGCTGCCGAGGTAGGAGCCAGGTGCAGCGCACGCCCTGTGGCCAGGTGAGTCATTCTGTGCTGTGCCCTTCTGCCCCCAGCTCTCACTTGCCACTTTCCTTCCTCTCCTTCTCTCAGATGATCAGCGCGTGCTGGAATCTGTTTTCAGAATCTCTCAACGCTATCTGAAACTTAGACGAAAATACAAATAGCTACCTGTAACCTTACGTGTTGCCTTAATTTGAAAAACTAATGAAGTTTTGGGAATCAAGGGGCAGGTAGAAGGGGAGGTTTAGCGTGGGGGTCGTCAGTGAGGAGGGCGCTGCTTCTCTGACGTTCCTGAGATTCAGGGACTTACGTTGCAAGCTTTTAAGGTTCCTTTCCTTTATTTATTTTTTTAAGATCTATTTTGTTTTTATCTGAAAGGCACAGTTACAGAGAGAAGGAGAGACAGAGAGATCTTCCAACCACTGGTTCACTTCCCAAGTGGTCACAACAGCTGGAGCTGGGATGTTAGCAGCCAGGAGCCAGGAGTTAGTTCTGGGTCTTCCATGGATGTGCAGAGTCCTAAGGCTTTGGGCCATCCTTCACTGCTTTAAGCGCAGAGGCTGCAACCAGAGAACTGGATCAGAAGTGGAGCTGCCGGAAGATGAACCAGTACTTATGTGGCCGTATGGGATGCCAGCGCCACAGGCTGATTTAGCTTTCTATGCCATGGTGCCGGCCCCCCAGGACACCCTCTTATGAGGGATTACTTATAAAAACAAATCAGGAGAGTTACACAGAGAGAGATTTTTCATGTGCTGGTTCAATCCCCACATGGCTGTGATAATTGTGAGTGGCCCAGAACAATGCCAGCAAGCCTGGATCTCCCGGCAGTTCTCCCACGTACACAGCAGGAACCTGAGCACTTGGACCATCTTCTATTGCCTTGTCAGGCACATTTGCAGGATCTGGATTGGAAGGGGAGCATGTGGGTCTCAAACCAGCACCCGTCTGGGATGCCTGTGTCACAGATGGCCGCTTAACACTAGGCGACAAAGCTGGCAAGGGATCAACCTCGAAGTTTCTTACAGTTGCCTGGGGGCCTGAATTCTTGCTTTTCCATTTGGGAGTTGGATCTTTGTTCTTCGCATCATTGCACGTTCATAAGTAGCTGTGGTTTGGGCTTC